CATTCATTAAATTAAACGTTTCACAATGAACCTGCTACAACTGTCATTATCAACTGGTGGCCCATGGGCCACTTTAAGTTTGTTAGAGGGAGCTCTTCTGGCCAATAGGTGTGAAATTATAAAACTAAACACATCTGATGATTGTTAACGTTCATTGATATTTTTACATTTTAAGACAAAAGAAAAGACTGTATTCCATCCATCTATCCATCCATCCATCCATCCATCCATCCATCCATCCATCCATCCATCCATCCATCCATCGTCTTTACCCGTTTCTTCCTTTTCAGTTTGCAGGGGGTCACTGGCGCCCATGAGTCTATCACAGAAGAGTGGATTCTTATAAAGAAAAAAATAAAGATTGTTTTGCCAATTTAAAAAAGAAAAACTGAAACAATGAGCTATTGTGTAAACGTATGCAAGTTTTTTAAATTGTGGAGTAACTGAGTATCCTACTTGGAAGAAATAAAGCATAAAGTTAAAGTGAGAATTATTTACTCTGTTTATTAGTACTAGTATTCACATATTTGCAAAGGAATTGACAGGAAAACTACTAAAACGAGTCTTTTTCTTTTTGTTGTGGACATAACATCCTTAAAAATCCAGTTAGTTTTGGTCAAAGCTTGAAAAAGCCTCTGCAGAGGGACCCAAGCCACATGTGGCACCAGAGCTGCAGGTTGCAGACCCCACTGATTTGAGAATGACTGTCAGCTAAAGTTAAATCAAATTTTGGCCCCATATCTGCACAATTGTCTTAATTATACCAATTTTCTATGTTTTCTAAGATCAGTTGGACGTGGCAACATCTCAAATCAAGTTGACTCCAAAATGTAGATGTCCATCCACTGATCACTTTTTGCAGGTTTCTTTAAAATCAGTCAGTTCAGTGGTAAAAACTTAAAACAAATGAATTCGTAATTTGAAATTAACTGCAAATGCATGCCAAAATTATGCAATGAATTAAATTGTTGCACAGAATTTGTAACATTAAATCTATTTATTTAAACAGGAATAAACTTGCAAACAGTATGACAAAAACTTCAGAAGCGTATTTGTTGTTTACACCTGTACACGGACTAACTTTTGTTTGAATGACAAACTTGTTTCTCACGCGCACATGCAGAGACGTGATGTCCTGATGAGAGGAGCAGCCAGCGGGCGCCTCTTCTACGCATGCGCAGTCCCGTCCTGGAGCACACGTCACCACGGCAACCGGCGCATTCACACACCGAGCCGGCGGTCAGCAGCATCCGTGAGGTCCCATCCCGTCCACAGGCGGCCGCAAACCCCCACGGTAAGTTGTCGTTTTATTGTATTTATTTATGTTTTATCAAATGTATGCTCGTTTTCCTGCAGCAGAGGTTTGTTTAACACACAGGAGCTGACACCACTGCAGGACAAGTTGCAGAATTTGGAGGTAATTTATGATTTGATGCTGGGAGCTTTAATTTATTCGGCTTCAGCTCGATGAAGGAAACGCATCAAACCTGGAGTGGATGTTTCTGCAGCTTCGGGGTTCTGTTACATAAGAGGCAGCATCATCTTTTCTGACCTCAAGGCTCCAGATTTACATGTTAAGGGTGTAATCGCTTCAGTTCGGGGCCAAAATAAAAAGCTTACAGAGAACGGGGTTTTATCAGCCACTTCTGCCAGCAGCCTTCACTGCAGCAAGTTCAGCTCTGCATGAGCAGCGAACCCTGAAGAACTTGACAGAAGGTGGCTAACACTCGGCTCTGTGCGTGACAGATTCAGGCGCATGCATCGAACTGCAGTTAAAGTCAAGATCTGACTAAAAGGACGCCTTCATAGCTGAAACTTGTCTCCCGCAGAGTGTGGGAACACAGAGTGTTTGACAGCAGCTCGTTTGTTAATCACAGATTCAGGATGATTCATCAGAGCCAACTGTGGGGGGTAAAGTGGTCAGCGTAAAAACACCCACACCTCAAGGTCTGTCTAGTTTTAGAGATTCATCTTAATCGTTTCATTATTTATTGTTTATTAGACCAGAAATGTTTAGTTTTTATGTTGACTTCATGACTCCCAGTTTGTGTATCGTTGTGAGTCACTGGCGTCAGAGGGCCAGTGGGGTCCTTAAAACGTGGGTGGGAGGTGTTGTGTTGCAGTGTGATGAGATAAGCGGCTTCTCACTTTTTCTCTCCACGTTCCGATGATCATTTAATGGAGGAGGAGAAACTGAACGAAGCATTTAGTCCATTTAAGGTGTTGTGTTATAATAAAGTGCTGTGAAATGACTCACACACGGCAGTTATGAGACATTTGGATTCAATAACCAGATGGAACAAGCCGGGTTATCTAAATATGTCTCCAAGCTGCATGACTCCCAAAACCCCACTGATATATTCGGAAAAACTTAATGAAAGAACGGCTTTGAATCTAATTTGTTGTAATATAAGGCGAGTCATATTCTTAATATTTCATCATCTTCACGAGCACATTTTTACTCCCAGGTCATCATGAAAGCACTTCCTGTTAGCTCTCAAGGTTGACGTTATTTTTCAGCCTGAAAGGAAAAACTACGTCTTTACGTCTGTTATTCTTTCGTGTCTAACACAATCATAGCAGTGATTTTAGGGCCTTGAAACTGATGGAGACGAGCACCAAAAGCAATTTGTAATCATCTGCTGTGCTCAGTTAAGAGTTAAGGTCTTTAAAATTCTAAAACAACTGAAATCCAAGCAAGAGCAACACATTTGTACTTGTTTTGTTTTTTTTTTAATTAAAAGGATAGTCCAGTCATCCTTAAGTGATGTTCTGTCTGATAGTTACATTTACTCAACTCTTGGCAATCCTTGCTGGCACAGTATTCATGATATTCAAGCAACAACACAACAGCTGTCTGTGTATTTGTGTCTCAATTATCAGCACTTACACTCAGGTTATTCTTGTGCGTGTGAAAATAACACCGTCTTAAAGCTTTTGCACAAAGCGGTTACACCTCTTCTGATTTCCAGTGGATTCTACCAAAAAAGTACACGCCTCGGTTTTAGACTGCTCTTCTAGTCGTAAAATCAACATTTATATACTTTATCAAAAATACTGTTTTCCTCAATTTATGGTTTTAGGTTTTTGAGTATCATTAACATACAAATGGGCTCATGATGCTCCAAGCGTGTCTACGTTTTTGTGGCCACAATCAGAACCTGCCATCATCATATTCGCCTGTTTGTGTGTGGGGGCTTGGTTTTTGTTACTTTTTCTGGACCTTTTCTAGTATAATCCCCCACCTTGTTAAGACCAGTAGTCCTTTTGGGGACCAGAACCTGATCTTACTGTTGAATACTGTTTTTGTGTTAGGGTTAGGCTTGTACTGATATCCCATCAACCATACACGATGACTGCTAATTAATTAGCATTACCAAACACAAAATTGGTTATAACTCACCCAGTTATACAGATATAAAGCTAAGATTTGGTGTGGAAGTAGCTCAGAGTCATCCCCAATACCTATTGTGAACTGATGTTGAAAACTGGAATGGTACATGGCACTGTTTCATTTATCACACTTGGCCTCTTTGTTTGGTATCTTTGCATGCTAACATACCATATTTCTTTCAACCACACTGCAGCGATGCGTGATGCATAGACCATGACATGCCCATTTTACTGGGTCATGTGTATAGACATGAGATGTCCCTGTAACATTTCTTGATTGTATTTCAGAACTGTATACTGTAGTACTGTACCTCACTTATTGCAGGGGTTACGTTCCAGATACCACCGCAATAGGTGACAATCCACAAAGTAGGAATGTTATATTTATTTTGGCATATATATATATATATATATATATATATATATATATATATATATATATACATACTGTATATATAAAGGCTTTATAAACCCTTCCCACGCTTTTGCAATGATTTTAACAATGTTCTAAACCTAAACGTCCTAAAAGAGCACAGCAGATTGACTGATGCTACGGTTACTGCCAGGGTGGACTGGCCATTGCTCAGTGATCGCTGAGGGGTTGGAACAAAGGCAACAACAGGTTGTGTGCATGCCTGTTGTGTGTCTCTGCTCTGTTGTGACAGACAGCCTTAGAAAGAGAAAGGAGGGGCCACTCGGCAATCACTGAGCGGGCCAGGCCACCGGGAAATGTCCCGGTGCTCCCAATGGCCAGTCCTCCTCTCAACACAATGCTCTGGTTGGTCGCCTTCCATCAATAAGCTGATATTGTGTGTGTATTTTGGGACTACTGTATATGCAGATTCACAAAACCCTAGATAACAGTTCCAGTTCAAAGGTATCTAGCATTCTGTAACAACACATTTCAAAATATAGTTTCATTGTACGTTTTTTTGTTTTTTATTTTATTTATTTATTGGAATGGAGATCTAACATGGTCTCACAGGAGAATGTTAAATAGTGACAAACACTGTACTTACAAGGTAATTAAAGGGTACTGTACATACTGGGTACTTACGAGAGTCATTGCAGGGTGATACAGGGTAAAGACAGGGTATTTATAGGAGTCTTTACAGGGTACTTACAGGGCACATACATGATACTTACAAAGTAAAGACAGGGTACTTAGGGGGCTACAGAAAAGGTAATTGCAGGATTTGTATAAGGTACATATGGTAGTATTTAAAGAGTAAATACAGGTTTTTACCTTGTGCTGTGCCCAAGTATAGCTTTTTGTTTAACAGCGTCTCTGGCCTGATGGTCATCATCATGAGTTTTGCAGCTGTCAATCATAAACTCTAGTAATGTGTGACAGGACAGAGTGGGATGACAGTCATGTTGTTGTTATTTTTTTAATCTTGTTTGTTTAAAATTTGCAAACTTGTGGTTATTAAGACATTACTTGTTAAATCAAAGTAGCAGTGCAACCGACTTTTGCCTAAACGTGCCTATTTAAAGGAAGATGTCAAGCAGCAGCTTCTTTCGCTATACGGTTTGTATTTCTCTTTTTCATAACTTCCTGTTTTAACCAAACTGTTATCTTTTATGTTTTGTCAGGTCCTGGCAGGATCCTTGAGTAGAGTCAGAGTTAATCGGACCTGAACCCTCTGTTCCTGATTCTGAGATTCGTTTTCAGGCAGCTGAGCAGCCATGGTGAAGCTGGGCAGTAATTTGTCTGATAAGATGGAGAAGCAGCCATCTGCAGATGATGGCTTTGATAACATCCCGCTCATCACACCCCTGGAGGTCAGCCAGCTCCGGCAGCCATTCGCTGATAAGGTAAGTCCTGCTACTTTTGTTGCATCACTTTTTTTTTTTAACCACAGCAAAATGTACATTGCATCAAAGAGAGAAATTGTGGGACTCCATTAAAATTCTTGTGGCAGCACTTCCCTTCTTCCATACACCTCTCTGCTGAGCCTGCTGTATTTACCTTTCTATACCACCATCCTGGGTTAAAACCTTGGCATCACTTCATATTACAAGCTCTTCTGTGAATGCATAATACAAAAAGGAAGCACTCTGAACCATTTTTGGTAAAAAGGTGAAAGTCGCCCCACAGAATATTCCTCAGAAATAAGTTGTTCTTTGGAAATAGTTGATTTTTAGAGATTGAAAACTCTGTGATATTTAAACTTAGTGCAGAAACACAAAGTCAGCTTGACTAATTGAACGTAATAGGTTTTAAGTTTGTTTTTTGTTTTCTTTTGTTGTTGTGGTGGTGGGGGCTCCTTGCTGTAGGTCATTGTGAAGACAAAGACACAGTATCAGCTGCAGCAGCAGCAGAAGAACAAGCTGTATGTTCCTAAAATCAAGAAGCTGAATATCAACTTCTACAGTGACGTCTCAGACAGAGTCAAGGTAAAATATTCAATATATTCAAGTATATCTCTGAACCCAACAAAGTTAAGTCAGGTCCTCTGGACTGTTTCTTTTTGTTGAAACGTTTCGTCTTTCATCCAAAGGACTTCATCAGTCCGAGGAGCGACAACAAACTCAGTCTTGTAAATAGCGCCTTCACATAGTGGATCAACCAGTTTGATGTGATAAGATGGTTTCTGGAGTCCGCCCTCTTCCTCCTTGACTCGTTTGAAGCAGTCATAGACAAAGTGGTTCAAAAAACCCTGACTCATGCTCAATAATCCAGGTAGAAAAATACAACAAAGTTAAGTCAGGTCCTCTGGACGATTTCAGTTGACCCACTAGGTGCTATTTATAAGACTGAGTTTGTTGCAGCTCCTTGGACTGATGAAGTCTTTTGGATAAAAGATGAAACATTTCAACAAAAATAAACCATCCAGAGGACCTGACTTAACTTTGTTGGATTGTTCTACCTGAATTATTGAGCATGAATCAGGATGTTATATCTCTGAATGTTCTCCTGATCACTGGTTCTCAATTGGTCTGGCTTTCAGATCCACCAGTACCTCTTAATGACTAGTCAAGGCTCAAATCAAGGAGAATTTTCCAGTTCTCAAGCTTATTGAGTGAAAAGATGGTGCACTTTGAACCCGAGATAACAGGATAACACAGTACGCCATCACACACACACACACACAAATAAGTAAAACTTTTTTCTTTTGAACAAAAAGAGAAAAAAGAAAGACCAGTAAATGTCTGTGGCAGAGAAGGAAATATATGCTCAATTAGTTGCATTTTTATAATAATAATATATATTTAAAAAAACTTCAAGTTGTTATCTTCAACCTTTTTAACAGACTTGGCAGTGCTTTCACTCACAAACATGAAATTAAAACAAAGTCCAACTACAAAGTACTAAGTACCGTATTTTCTGCCGTACACGTCACACCGCCGAATAAGTCGCATCAGTCCAAAAATGTCCAATAAAGTGGAAAAAACACAAATATGTTGCTTCACTGTATCAGTCGCATCTATTATTTGCCACCACTGACGCATAACATTTGTTATTCGTCACTGCTGACAACCCGGAAACGTGGGCCGGTGTGCCAAAAATCGATTGGCTGCCAAATGGCGACCACTGGAGGACTTTAGCAAGAATTAACAAGATTTATACCTAAAAACAATTACTCGTTTGCTTGAAATTAGAGTAAATGTGTGCCTCAGTTTAACGTTTCTTTAATAAATGCACTTTAATGGTCAAATCAGCTGTATTTTGCTTGGGTGGTGCAGTGAAATGCAGCTGATTTGACGCTTGCTCCAGTTCAGGAGTCAGACGAAGGTGGCTTTTTACGACAAACCAAGTGTCTCATTAATAGCCACTTTTACCCATTATTGAGACATTTGGCTTGCCATAATGCTCGAGGGCCCTCTAGTGGCTACAAATGGTAGTGTTTAATATTTTTCATGTCAGAATGAATGAAATCATCAGATCTCAGCCAAAAACTGGGTTATAAATATGGGGGGGGGGGGTGTATATTAGTCGCTTCAATGTATAAGTCACAGGACTTTCAAATGTATGCAAAAAGGTGCAACTTATACAGTGAAAAATATGGTAGCTAAGTACCCATCCACCGGCTATATAATAAACAATGTTTTATTAAACTCTTTCAGTCACTTATTATTCAAGCATTGACCATAAAACTCACATAATCAGATAAATGAGACTCACTAAAAATGGGTTTACGTTCCACTTTTGTGTTCTGACGCACCAAATGAGAATAACTTCTCTTAACGACTAGATCTGAATAGTTTGTTTGTATATCCTCTTTTACTGAGAGTGGTCTGTTTTTATTTTGGTAAACATCCTCATCATATGATTTTAATTTATAGGGGCTTTTCCAGTCAGCTATGATAACATTAGAAACAAATCTTTAGCTTTGACCTTTCAGACTTTTGTCACTGAAAACACTATGTGTGTGTGTGTGCATGTGCGTGTGTGTGTGTGTTGGGGGCATTTCTGTTCAGATTACAGGTCTGATCCTCATCACCTTGGCCTTCTTGACCAGCCTGCTCTTCCTGCTCATGTACAAAGCCATGTGGTACAACCAGCTCACCTGCCCAGAGGGCTTTGTCCTGAAGGTTAGCATTAGCGCACAAACATACAATAATATAATAATAATTACAAAACACACATTTTTTCATAAAACATGAAGTTTGTTACCTTTCACTCACACTTCTACACAGACTCATGTTTTGCTTTCATCACATCTATTCCTTTTATTGAGATTTCATTTTTATTATGATGATTTGGGTATTTTTGCCCAAGTGTACATGTTTGTTTGCTTATATGTAGTGTTAGCAAAATATGTCATGAGTGGATTTGAACAAAACTTTAAAACATAATCATTGGATATAAATCTACAACCCATTACCTTTGGAGTTGACCTTGTTCAGCATGGCTGCCATAGTTAATAAGCTTTAGCTAACTCACAAACGGCTAATATTAGAGGTAATCAGCTAAAAGTCGAGGTGGTAGTAGCTGCAACAGATCTTCAGCACACTGCATGAGCGTGAGAGTATTTTTAACCGTAAGGTGATCTTTGGCAAGACACCATGAAATAAATCACACACCAGAAGCAGGTCAAAGGTCTCATATTTGAGTTTTAAAACCTCATCTGTGTGTGAGCCCAAATGGCTAAACTTCAGCTCTTTTTCTGCCTTGATTCTCATCACTCCCTCACATCAGTCCCTTCAAGGGGATTTCTTTAAACGTGGGGATAAAAAAAGCCAAACTCTTTATCTCCCAGCGACACCTTGGAGGAGGCATCGAGTATCGAACCTGCGCTGCAGCGAACGTTAGTTAAAGAGCCTGTCACGCAGAGGAAAACCACAGGGCGGGAGAAACAGACAGGGGTGGGGGACTGCGGGCTTTCTTTCTGGTCAGGCAGAGATTGAGTTTCCCGCCTGTGAATCAGAGGGGTCTTTAATTAGGACTCAGTGACTAAACTGTGATTAAAGGCTTAACAGTGAGGGGGGGCCTCTGGCAATGTTTTTGAAGTTTTGCAGGTTAAAAGGTTTAAGCTTTTTTCTCACTTTCTTGTCAACAACATAAAAACTAAGTAAACAGATTTTTTTTTTTGTCTTTGTGCTGCATCATCTAATAAAAACCGTCACTTCCTTTATGAACACATAAATTATATGTTTTGGTGTGAAGGATGTTTTATTTTTCTACATGGGCTTCTTGTCTGACACTGTAGAGTGGAATGAATAATTTTATTTACAGAATGGATTACAACAATCTATAAAACATTTTTAAAAACACCTCATGCCATTTGGACACAAACATATAAAGTGGGTAACTTTTAAATAATTATTAAATTTATAATAATTATTATAATTTGTTTCATCTGTGACTAAAGAATTAAATGTCAGCCACTGCAAGTTTTTGTTTTCTTTCATTCCTGGTCACACTCAGGCTTCTTTGACAGTTTTTTAGTCTTTTTCAAAATAAAAATGAGCATTAAAGCAAAACCAAAATGCAGCTTCAACTTTTATTTTTTTTGTCTCTGAACTATTTATAATCAAATACTAGTTTTAAAGGAATTGGAAACAGTTGCATTCTGACGTCATGACTTAATTTATGCAGCATCTGTATTTGTTGGAAACTCAGTTTTGTTGATTTGAATAAAACTCAATATGAATTTTAATGACATTTTCAGGAAGTAATCAATGAATGTGCATCTACAACTGATAAATGTTCGGCATCAGTCCAGTTCAAGATGGCCACTGCAGCTCATCTAAATTAGCAAACACAAAAGCTCAGTCAGTTTTAAAGCAGCTAATGGGGGTTGTTGAAAAAAAATTGAATGTTGGTTTAATAGAAACAAATTATCTTTAAATTGATCTAGTTTGGACATTTAAAAATTGATACAAATGTTAAACTGGAGATTTATAATGTATTAATTGATAAAGTGTTTGAAAATAATTTTCTGGGTGTAATTTTGAACCACAAGTTTTGTTGGAAACAACATATTCATATTCATATTTCAATGTGCTTATACTAATGTATCTGTGAAAATGGCAATAAATTCTATTCTATTCTATTCTATTCTATTCAACACTGTTGTAATAATATGGCTAAAACCATAGGGATATTGGGAAAAACAAGACATATCTTGAGCATTAAATCTTTGCACACTTTTTATTGCACCCTGTTACTGCCATATTTATACTATTGTGTTGAAGTTTAGGGATATACATACAAAAGTTATCTATAAAAAGTATGCATAATGCAAAAAAAGAGCAATAAGGATGGTACACAATGGTTGTTAATGTGAACACACCGGTCAACTTTTTTTTTAAATCACAGCTTATCAAATGTATGGATGTTTTTACAATTTAAAACTGCACATGTTCAAAGCTAGAAATAATGTGCTTCCAAAGAATATTCAAAACTTATTGAAGAATAGAGAGGGAAGGTACGAAATGAGAGGAAAATGTAATTTAAAGCAACCCTGTGTTCGCAGCACTCTTAAAAGCATGCGCATATCAGCTAAAGCATGTATATATATTATATATGTGTGTACATATATATATATATATATATATATATATATATATATATATATATTTTTTATAGATATATAAAGCATGTCCATATCATTTCCTGGAGTGATTTTGTGGAATATCTTAGTTGAAAATTTTAAGCAAAGTAAAACTATTGCCCAATTCAAGAGACAATATAAGAAGCACAAAATTAATATGTATAAAGACAAAATGATGTTATTCCAGCTGTTAATTTGTTAATCAACGTGTTAAGCTTTGATCTGTAGGTGATATAGAGTAAATTTGTATCTGCAGGTATATTTACCTATACGTAGCTATGTATGCATGTCTGCATGTACAGTATACAGTATGCTGCAAGTATCCATGCATGTATGGTTATTTATGTGGCAAACTTATAGTGTTGAGGGCCGCACTGGATTAAATTTGGGGAATCTCTGTCCGATGCGTGCTTCCAAACTGACGTCACTCCAGGTCACTTCTTTATGCAATGGTCGGTTTATTCTGGTTTAAATGTCCATGCTTTAAACATTACACAGACTGAGACACAGACGGACCAGGTCCAAACAATTGATAAACGCTCGACATGACTTGCTACGGCATCTTATAACACGGTCAACAGAAAATATGACGACCCCGGGCGCACCCAACTTCCTCATCCATGAAAAGCCAGAACACCAGCGAGCACGCCATTTATACCTGGTGACAGTCATATATTATCATATTACACATAAATATGATCAGTTGCTTATTTCACTTATATGGGTTTTATGTATTTATATTGAATTCAGAATTATGTAACCTTAGGGACTGGACTGTTAGTTCAAGTTCAGGTTGTGTTTATTTGTCATATGCAGGTTAACACGGAGTTAACAGTACAATGAAATGCTTAGGATGAGAACAACTGATATGACTTACTAAAAAAAAATCAAAGAACAAACAAACAAGAAATGCTAAAAACATGCAGTAAGTGTACAGAAAAAAGTACCAAAAAGTGAAAAAGTATTTGGATAAGCCTTCACTTCTTCCTGCTGCCTTTTCAAACACTTTTGTTTTGTTTACTGAATATTTTGCTGGAAATATTTACCTTTTTATTTATGCTTTTTGTTTTGTAGAAATATGAACAGTTTGAAATGAAATAAAGAAAAAAACAGTTGCACTGATATCGAGCTAAAACGTGATGTGGCAGTAGCTGCGAGTCACACATTTCACACAATTTCAAACTACTTCATGACGTCACCATAAAATCTAAAAAACTGTTCATTCTCACCGTACGATGACCCTGAAGACAGTGAGCTCTGTGCATTTGTTTTATGTATTTGTTTGTTTCTGCTCCAACAGCAGAAGCACTGCACCCCTGCAGCTCTGGAGATATTTTACACAGATCAGCAGCAGCAGGAGCAGCAGGCGGGGGAACCGGGCCTACACAGCAGCACCAACACTGGGTTCTACGCCTCTCTCAACCATGTTAAGAGGACTGGGCCCCAGCTCCAGTCGTCATGGTTACCAATCATCAGCACACTGAAGGAGGCTGAGGAGGCTAAGGAAGGTGGCGAGACACTAAATGGAGGGCCGGGGGGGCGAGAGTGAAGGATCTGGTGAAAAAGTGTAGTTGAAAGGGTGGAAACTCAAAATGTTGTGTCCGTTCTTGTCTTTGTGTGTGTTTATGTGTGTGTGTGTGTGTGTGTGTTTACGTGTGTGTGTGTGTTTATGTGTGTGTGTGTTTACGTGTGAGACTGGACTAATTTATGACCTCTTTATTCTGTAGGGTATGAATAACAAAAGAATTGAACTTTTCAGGATTCAGGCCTGCTCTGAAGCTTTCCAACAGGTTACCTTAAGTTCAACGAATGTGTGCATCATCTGCTGAGCTCCACTTCTGAAAAACCTAAAGTCTGTTTGCATCTATTTAGATCAGCAATGTGAACTGTTGCAATTAAAAAGAGGAAAGAGCCGGAGTTTTTGCAGAATGTTAAAACAAATCGTCCATTTCTGCCCCCTCTGTTTGCCACACACACACGTGACACGTGTCAGCAGAAATGTAATGCGTGTTCATGCACCATGTCTGCACAGTCAACCTCTCTGAAAGAAAAGATGCGAGAGTTGACAGAAGTGAAAACAAGTTTCTGGTGGGACTTGTGCAGGTTTTTACTCATCTGTGTGTCTTGCTGTTTCTTTATTCACCTCAGAACAGATCGTAACTCGTCCTGAATGATGAACTCGGTTTGATGCCTGAAGTATTTGAATCGTCTTAAGCTGAGGCAACTTCCACCTGTAGAATGTAAATCACACATTTTGTACAGTTAAAGTCAAAGGAAAATGTGATGATCAATAGTAATAGCATTTAATTGATTGGTACCACTTTACAATAAGGCTCCCCTTATCAAAGCCGAAAGGCAAAGGTTTTTCAATGTCGTTCCACCACATGTGGTACACGTGGTGGAATGACATTGTGTACACAGTATCCCAGTTACATCCAACAAAAGTATAAAATGTAAAAGAAAAACAGTAATAAGATCTAAGATATGAACTAAAAATGTGTGAAACTAAGAATACACTAAGCACTAGTAGTATAAAAACTACGCTGAACAGCAGCACGAACATGAGTCTGTGTGAGCAGATGAGGACGAATGAACACATCAACATGAAATAGATCAACATGGATAGTCAGCAGCACATACCATCAATCAAGTGGCATTACGGCATTATTATGGCAGCACGATGGCTCAGTGGTTAGCTGTGTTGCCTCACAGCAAGAAGGTTGTGGGTTCAATCCCCAGTTGGACCTGGGGTCTTTCTGGGTGGAGTTTGCATGTTCTTCCTGTGCATGCGTGGGTTTTCTCCAGGTACTCCAGTTTCCTCCCACAGACCAAAAACATGCATGTTAGGCTGCCTTCAGGTCCAGGCCTCCCTTGCAAAATAGACCTGTGAACTCAATGGGATTTGCCTGGTTAAATAAAAGTTAATAAATTAATAATAATTAGTGATTTTTTTTTTAGTGATAATCCTGATTAGGGATTCATGAGTCTAACAGAAGCTGTTCTTCAGTCTAGTGGTTCTACACTTAATGGTCCTTAACCTCCTTCCTGAGGGGAGTGGGGCAAAAAGTGTGTATGCTGGGTGAGTGGGGTCCTTCATGATGCAGGTGGCTCTCTTCCTGCATCTGGAGGTGTAGATGTCTGTGATGGTGGGGAGACTGACTCCAACAGTCTTCTGTGCAGCCTTCACCACTTTCTGCAAAGCTTTTCTTTCTGCAGCTGTGCAGCCTCCATGCCACACGTTGATGCTGGAGCACAGGATGCTCTCCACTGCACACCTGTAGAAGGAGGTGAGGACTGAGCTTCCCAGACCAGCTCGCCTCAGCCGCCTGAGGAAGTAAAGTCTCTGATGAGCTTTCTTGAACAGGCTGGTATAGTGTACTGCTGGTAGTTATATATGGCTAATAAATAGTTTATAGATACATTATTAATTCTCTATAAATACTTTATAAATCATTAATTATTATGCATTAATTAAGGGTGACAAAGACAAAACTGACAAGTTTCTTGCCACATAGTGAGCCAATCCTGTTCACCTATATTTAATCTAGAGTTGTTATATTAAACATTTGAGACTAAGTTACTACCTTGTAAGCACAATAAGCATTTGTAAACCTATTTCTTTGCATATAATATTCTACTTTATCACTGTATTATAAGCATCTATAACTAATATATTATCCTAAAAAGCCTTTAGGCTTATTGTCAAGTGGTACCAATTAATCATTTTGCAGGAAAGTTAATGCATTCAGTGTTAAATCCAACTTATAACTTCTATGTTGCACTATAAAAGTTTTAATGAAATAAAAATGTGCAGTTTTACATGTAATATTGAAGAGAAATTTGGCTTTAAAACAACTCCTTTTTCATTTATCTAAGCTAAATGTGAACACTAATCTATAATGTGCCATCATTGTAATTTTGGCTGTAAGTAATGTGCAGATATTTTAAATGTTTAACATTATTTCCGGCCTTCCCTAAATGAATGTATGAAGTAGCTGCAATAATCACACAGCTGATATTATTGCTTATGATGTAAAAGCTCAATGTTTCTGTGGTTTTTGTTTTTATTTAAATGCAAATTAATTTAACTTCCCTGTATTAGATTTTTTTAAATGTATTTGTCTTTCAAAGCCAACATCAGTATTGTTTATACCAATAAATAACCAGAAATTACTTGATAAATTGTGTAATTTTTATTATCTATAAAATACTATTAATAAAAGAATGTTAAGTTCTGATGACATTTGTGAACCATTTTTCTTTATGACATGTTTTCATCCATTATTATTTGTGTTTATCAAATCAAGTTAAATTTAGATATACATGTAAATCTTGAAGAAAAATAAAGAAAATGAAAGTAACAATTATGTCAAATGTTTTATAGAACAATAAGTCACCTGGTATTTTGCTTTAAAATATTTTTTTCTTTATATATAAAACTCGAAGCTCTGATTTTTTAAATGATTTCTTATATTTGTTCAGATATTTGTTGTATGTTGTTATTTGCACTGTTTTTCAATCTAATGTTTTCAGTACATTATCAGAGTTTATTTGCAACTAAATAAATTTTGAAAACTTTATTGTAACACATAACAGCCTTTCTGCTTAGTAACACATTTTACACTTAAAGCAAATTTAAGAATTGTATTCACTTCCTCTTCATTTTAGTTAAGGATGTTATTAAAGGGTTTGTGAATGTAAAAGTTCAATAATAATATAATTATAATCCTTTATCTTTAAATTAATTGCTCAGAATGTTTTGGAGAAGGGGTTCGGTGGAGCGTTTATAGTAAATTACTATCTTACCTGCTGCAGATAGCTCTTAGACAACCTCAGTTCAGTGAAAAATAGTTAAATTCTGACTGGATTAATAAACTAGCAGCTAGCCTGAGCGAGACCAAGATTAAAGCAAAGTGTTGCAACAACTGCAGCCTAAACAAATCACAGCGGTTCATTAAGACCCGATTTTTATAAACCTTTCATTCTCTGTCAGTTTCATTTCACACAGATTCTCTGCCAAACATGATGATTGCTTCTCTATTAGCCATTAAAACTACTTTTATTGTTGTGGACTCGCTCTATCGAGGATTTTCAAAATAAGATTGGACATGACACAGAAGTGGCTGATTGATGGATGAGCCGCACGATCGGCATGGAATTTTTATTTAAAATAAATTATTGTAAATTATTTAGCACCTGCTGCACCTCTGCACAGCCCATACTGCAGGATCCAACAATTTTCAGTCAAGTCGTCTGGACAGTTTCTTTTTGTGTGCTGAAACGTTTCACCTTCCATCCAGAAGGCTTCATCAGTCAAGGAAACACACAACACAAAACTGATTCTTCCCCCAACAGCTTACTCCAAAGTGGAACAAACCAGTTTGTTGGTGCTAAGAAGGTCTTTTTGGCATGCCCCCTCCTCCAGTGCCAGCCCTCTTCCTCGTTGACAGTCATGTCAAACTGGTTCAAAACCAACAAAGTCCATGCTCAATAATCCAGGTATACAATCCAACAATGTTCAGTCAGGCCATCTAGACAGTTTCTTTTTTTTGTGTGTGTGTGTGTGTGTGTGTGTGCTGAAACGTTTCACCTTCCATCCAGAAGGCTTCATCATACTGCAGGATAAGCTTCCGCCTGCAGCTGATCAGCTGTTCTCCACCCAGAGCGGAGAAGTGGGCGTGGCCAAGAATGCTTGCAAGGTGGCTGAGAGCAGCGAGTCAGAGAGAGGGAAAGCATGACATTCTGTGCTCTTAGAGCATTTAGAGACATTGTTAAAATATTGCAATAGTGTGGGGCAGAGTTAAAACGCCTTAATATAAATACTAAAATAAAAATTACTTCTACCACTATTCCTACTTCGCATATTTTTTTACTCATCGCGGGTCTTCAGGGTCCGGATCCCCCGCAATGAACAAGGGACTACTGTAAAGCCCCTCTAACACAACAGTATGCCTTTGCACATGCTTTTGTAACATATTCATGCACAGTCCCTTGTTTTAAAGTGAGCGCTCAAGGATGCATAGAATTCAAAATATTTCTCCTTCCTCCTCCTCAGTGTGTAGTTCAGTGATTCGAAGCCAAGCCACATCCTCTGGTTCTCCATGTTTCTTAGCTGCGCTGCTGCGAGCCTGTCTGCATCTCATTTGCACTCACATACTTTCACACCGTCACTGCGAGCGCGAGGATGTGTGGCTTCAAGTGTGTGTGTATCACTATGAAATCATTAACCTAGAGCTATGTGTGTTAATGTTTATGTGTCTTACAGGTCTTGATGTGTGTGTGAGCCCATGCTTAGCCCGTTAATTAAATCTACATTATGTCCCGTTTCAGCCTTTAGGCTTTTCTTCTCCTTTGTTACTGGCTGACGTGCTTTAGATGTTGTTGGCCTACGGCACAGAGTTAAATGAAGTGCTACAAATTATTTATTGGAGCATTTACAGATGTTTTCCACGGTCAAAGTCTAACAAATTGGCTTCAATTCAGGGCCGCTGGAAAATCACATAAAATCAGCCGTTGTAGTCACGTAAAGACCGCCAAGCCCGTTTTCCT